AATTTATTTTAATAACAGGAACATTTATTTTTTTCTGTGTGAGGGGGCATTCCAGTTCTAGTACAAAAAAAAGCCAGTTTTAATAGAGTTCATCTGGCAGTGCTGCAAATGATCCGCCAGGAATTATGGTATAAATTGTGCCTGAGACTGGAGCACTGAACAGACTGCACCTGGTCTGACACAGCTGTTTCACACACACTCCTGCAGCACAGATCCAGAGGCCGGACTTTGTGTCAAGGCCTTGTAAATGTCTCAAAGCCAAAATGTAGAAAGGAAAAACGGTCTATTTGGCCAGTTATTCAAAAACCAATGAGTTTAAAGTGTTTCATTTGGCATGAACAAGCTAGTGGGAGAAAAGAATAGGAAAAAATCATTAATTCCCTCGATGGAGAAATAGAACATCTTAATTCACTCTTTTCAACCAATGTAGACCTGATTACCTCTTGTAATAACCTTATGATTTATTTAAGGAGTCCTTGGTGCATTGTTAATCATAATCTCTATCTATATTTGAGAAACTCGTTTTGATTTAACGGTTCCTTCCCATTTCAAAGTCTGTGTTTTCCCTCTATTGAAAATGTTTCTGCAAGTATAGCGATTGCAGGTAAGGGATAACCTCCTCAGTATGGCAGGTGTAATATAGTGTCAGAGGACTGAGATCCATATTGAGCCTCCTGTTAGCGTCTAGTTGTGTGTCTTGAGCCAAGCAGGTGCTCAGTTGAGTTGCATCCAGTGATTTAGAGAAGCATGTCCAACCCATTATCCTCTCCTCATCCATGCCTGTCTCAGTGGATTCTCTCACCCTGCCAACGATTTACATTGTCCTTTGCAGCCAACAAGGACACAATGGAGTTTATATGAGACAGTATATGATCTCAGTACCACCACTTCTGAAGATACCGTTTTAAACTGTATTCTAAATTAGTGACACACATTAACAGAAACCTTACTTTTTTATGAATTCTTGATCCTCTTCTGCAAAAATACAAGCTTTCAGTTGCTTGATGTATTTTCCTAGTAAAAAGCTACAACTGTATTCACAATGTATTAGTTCATGTCTTTGAAAGAGACACATAGAATGTACATAGTATTTTGTCTTCAATATATGCTTATTTATTTAATATGTATTATAATTAATATCAGAATCAGTTTTATTACCAAGTAGGTTTACACATTTGCTTCAGTATAAGTTTATATTGCAACATACAATAGTACTCTATATATTTATTATTGTTGCAGTAAACTTGTAAGTACAATAATAGCGCTGATAAGGGAGTGCGTGTGTTAAATGTATGCACTGTTGTGTTTTTTTCTCAGTACAACAGTATAATCAGTACGGTCAATGCATTGCAGATGAAAAGAGAATGTGAGCACAGCAGAGAACATGATTCTCTTACAATTTTGGACATCGGGAAAAAAATTATATTAAAATGATGAACTTATATGTTTTCTACAGCACATACACTGATGTCTTGGAAGTGTCGCAAAGATTCAAGAGATGGACTAAAGAAACCTTTTTTCCATACATATCTGTGTCGGTGTTAGTTTGACTATAGAAGCGTCCCTCGGGGTGAACACCCCTCAAACCTCAGCTGGAATGTAAAACAGGTGCTGCACAATTGGTTCCTCAACAGCGGGGGCGAAAGAAAAACAGCCGCCCCTGCAGGAACATGAGTGACAGAACATCACATTCTCCAGCCATCTGTGCCTCCAGATGATCCTCACTTACAGTCAGATTTAAGGGATGATATACAGCATGCTTGCAATATATTATGCATTCTCATTCAAATCCAGAGTCAAAATATTCCTTGATAGCATATTCTGAGCTTTCTCTGCAGGATTAGTTTTCATAGCAGAAATTCATGTTTCTCATTGGACTGAAGATTTGCTGATAAAAACAAATGTAACAGTCTTAGCTCTTTCCTTAACACCTTGTGTGTTCCTCAAGGGGCGCTGTAACATCTGGCATGGATTACTACATTGAAATTCTGGCCGGGGATTCAAAGAGAAGAGTTTTTAATTGAATCCACTCCGAAGCATGTGAGACTGAAATGTCTTCTGGCGAGAAGCTTCGAATACACTCATGTTGCTTTGTTATGTGATATTTTTCACGTATTGAATTCGTTTTTCCCCCTGTTTTGTGACTCGTGTTTCAAACTGAAATACTCTCTATACTCTACTCTATGAAAAGAGTATCTTCTTTTTGCAGAATGAACTGACTTGTCCAGACAAAGATAGTTACATTGTGTATTTACTGGAAAGGAATTCACCAATAAAAATGTATTTAATATTTCAACAATCCTTTTGTTTATCCATGAGAATGTACTGCTGCCTCCCTTCCATTGGACCATAGCACATACCAGCACAACACTAAACTGCTGTGCAACAATACACACATTCACAGCCCACAGACAGCAAATTGCTTCTCTCATTCCCCACCACGCCCTGCCTTCGTTCTCAGCCACCTGCAAAACAAACTGTGCTGGAAATTTCACTACAAATTACCCTGTGTCTGACAAATCCCCCCGGGAGCAGAGGAAATCAAAACCCTGGATCTCCCTGCCCCCATTCAAACAGACCTCAGTCTCACTCACACATAAATCACACTGTATTTATGTTTATAACTCTAAAACACATACAAATATAGAGCATATACTGTGGTATTTTAGTCGGTCTGAATTCTATAGTTGTAATTCTTAAATACGATTTATTTTGGCATGAGTGCAAAATAACTTCTGGTAACCTTTCAGCAAAAAGCTGATTCTAACAAGCTTAACAACAAAAAAAAATTCTGCCAACCTTTCACCAAAAGCTGATTTATATCAAAGTGCCTGGTGGTGAAGAATATAAACCATATGAAAGTTCACAGTTTACCTTTTGTCAACACCAATTGTAGGAGCAACCCATACTTCTGTGGGCTTCAGGTCAACATGACATTGTGAAACTAAGCCTCCATTCCCACTAAGATTGAAAACTGAGACCTGTTTCGCTTCAGGGGAAAATCAAAGGAAGGCACATACCTTAGCAGTGAATAATGATCAACAGCGTTCACATTGTAAGGGCCACAGCGCCTCCTGGTGACGGCAGTGCAGAATGAAAACAGGCAGGAATGTCAGGGAGCGAGAGAGTGAGTCAGTGGCCGTTGTGCCAGAGAGATGAGTGTTGAAAGCTCCTTGGAAAAAGGATTAGGGCTGTTTATGTTGGCCAAGTGGCCCGCTGCCAGCTGCCCAAGTGTGCAAACTTCTTAAAGCTGCAGCGCTTCGGGTTGCTCGTGAATCTTTTCACTGTATTTACCCTCCACCCAGACTGTATGGAGGGTTGTGCTTTGTTCAGGGGGAAAGCCCCCTCTGCTTCAGCCACCACCTCCAAAAAAGCACGCTCTGCCCCAAGAAATGTGTTGGATTCAAAACCAGCTTTTCAGTGACACCAGAACACCCCCTTACAGTGTGCAAACTGTACATATACTTCAGGTAGAGTAACTCATTTTCAACTTAAATATACAAATAAAAGTCCCCCTCAGGTGATTCAAATGTCAATTGTATGTAATTGTAATGGACCATAAAGTGTTCTGCATCTGAATGAAATGTTCGGACTAATGTGTCAGCCAAACGCTTCCTCCCATTGACATGGTAAGAATCAGACACACCATATTAGGATTGTTGAAGGTAAGCGCTCCATTATATTTAGTAAATATGTCCTCTACAGGAGCAGACTTGATGTAAATTCCATCAAATAAAGAAAGGCAGGGAGTAGAAGTGTCCAGGTTGGAGGTAAAAGAGAAAAAGGGGGGGCATGTGTCAACAGTAGGATAAGACTCAGCCTGGGAGCTGGCAGGACGCCAGCGCAGTGCGGCCTGGAGCTAGATCAGAGCAGGGTTCGTGAGCTGCAGTTATGAGAGGAGGGTCTCAGGTCATAGAATAATACAAGGCATAGAGCCTCCGCAGCAATAGTGCTCAACTACTCAACTTTTGTTCCCAACTGGCAGACAAACTCAAACGCTTGAGTCAAGTTTTCTAAATGTTGTCTCTGGCTGGCTGGTCATATTACAGATCAGAGCTATCTCATATTTTATTTGAAGAATATCAGCTTTTGCCATTACAAAGAACATTTTGAGTCCCACATGTTGAAGAATTTTTTCTGTCAAAGCACTAAATCAGTTTGGTTTCTAAGGCCTCAGTGTACCTGACTCGAATGCTTAATGTGAAAAGGAGCTTTTGTTTTTGTTGTGTACGGCAGATACATTTGAGAACATGATCTGATAAATACTAATATAGGTTGTCTCAGAATGATTTGGCTTTACATGTAGAGTACAAACAGTTTGCAGTGTTTGGGTGTATTATCTTTTAAACACAATATCCAGGTTCAGACCCCATTATAGCGAGCATCCGGGGGCCAGACACTTTCAAATGTTATGTTAGTGTTATCAATGGGTTTGCAACTATTGAGCATTATTTCTAAATATCTGTAACATTGAAGTTATTCCTCACATACCGCATTTGTATTCTTTGGATTTTACTGTAAGTACAAAGACATTTTTATATGTGTGTGTATATATGTATATATATATATATATTCAGTGCTACTATTGGCTAATGATATTTTGTTCACAAGATCTATATCATGCGAGTGTTAACAGATTAACAGAACTTAGTGGTAGTTTATCATCATTCAAAATGACTATTCTGACATCACACAACAATAGTAAATGCAGTTTCATTTAGCAACTGCAAGTAGTAGGATTGTATGTGCATGCTGCCATCTTTTGGTAACTGTGAGTACTGCAACTTCTCAAAACTAAATCTGTATTAAAGATATACTGAAATACACACTATTCTACTACACTTAAGGCTTACTGTATTTTTTTGTGTAAGTGTTTAATTACATTGGGTGTCAGTAGTCTATCCTAGTATATTGTGTGTCTGTGAATAATCTCAATAAACACGTGTTATAAAATAAGGAAGAATTGACAAGGAAAAACACCAGACAATAAACAAGACACATCAACTTGTGAGATTAAATTCACACTATTAGGTTTGTATTCAGGTAGGTACATGCTGAATAAAAATGATGTTGCACACCAATTAGTTTACAAATGTACTTCAACATTTTAAAACCAAATCCAGCTTCAATACTAGACTTTAAAAAGTGCTTTGGACATGGCACACAAATTCGCCACCTGCTCATGGTGGACTTAATACCATACAAACCTAACTATGAAGGTTTAAGGCACTTTTTTACGTCACACTTCATTCAGGAAACATAAATGCAATTTTCTAAATGCAACACCTTGTAATGTAAAATATAAAGTATATTGTACCAAAATCTTACTGTAAACACATGTTACACTTTTGGCACTGAATTCAGACCCAGAGGCACGATGTTCATGGCAATGAGTGGACCATAACACAGCCACAAATAAGTTCATTCAGTCAAGGCACACAATAAATGCTCAAAACCATGTCAAATATAGTTTAACCTCATACACTTTTCTCCCATTTTTCATATTGCAAATATATATATATATTACTGTATTGGAACAGATGTCATGATTATGCTTGATACATGACAATGATATGATGACCCTTGATATGTTGATACTGGCAAAAGGCAATGATAGGAAGGCGAGTTGTAGTGAAGCCCACACAAAAATACTTAGTTACTTATCAGCCTCAAATATTGTAAATCCCCTGAGGTAACATAGCCGAGAGTAATATTGTAAGAAATATTACTACATCAACTCTTTAAAGAAAGAACTGTTAGTTTTCTAAAATATCACAAAGATTTGAACTTTTTCATCCATTTCTCTTCAACACAGTCATTGGAGTTTCTGCCTCAAGCATCACAGATATAGTACAAAACAGAAAGACAATGTCACTGACACACGGGGGTGTTGCGTGAAAATGTTAAGAGAGTTGGCTTTATCTTGATTGACACCTTAAATATCATCAGTCTTAAAATGATTCCGGTGTGCTTTATCCTGGTTCTTGGAAGTGTTCGGCTCCTGTCCCTGAGGTGGTTGAATAGGGGATGGAAGATAAAGCACCTCCACCATCTGTTGGTGAAGCTACTCCACTATCTTTTGATTTGAAATAAATGACATAAAATAATGGCAGGACGATGCCGATCAGGAGCATGGCCACCACAGCGTTCCACCACTGGATGCCCCAGTCTGCGCCGTGACTCTTCAGAGGCTGTCCTTTGAAACCAAACCTTTGTTGTTTTGAGTTATCTAAAAAAGTTTCATCTTGATCATTTGTGTTCTGAATCAGTTTCTCGATATCCTGGTCCACCTCCATCAGGAAGTCTGTGACTTCCTGCAGGTGTGGCTGGGCTCTGGATCGGTCCTGAGGCTTCACTGGTGTGGGGGATGAATGTGGCATTTCTTCTTGAGGGTGACTTGTGTGCAACTCGGTTAAAAAGCTGTGTTTCTGAACAGGTATTTTGATGGTTTTCAGTGCAAATAAATCTTGTTCCTGCATGAGGTTGTTCACCCGCTTTATATCCGTCACCTGTTGACAGAAACACAGGATTTTTAAGGAATCAGGAATCTTACTTGTATTCACCAATCTAGATTGTTTTGGTGGTAGTTGCTGAGCGTTATATCATTGAGATATCGTCGTAGTATGCCTTCTCTCAAATATAATGCGACTAAATGTTACCAACAAAAAAAGGTTTAGAAAAACTTAGAGATGTGTCTTCTTCCCACAAATCATGTCCTGGCATGTAAGAGCTAGTTTCTTTTACACCAAAGTGCACTGACCAAGGGTATAACCACGCCATATGGAACATACCTCTTCTGAGCTATCTTACTTTACAGCTCAACCAAAGAGGAAATACATATTCCTACATGAAGCTGCTCACAACATGGTCTGTGGATTATCTTGATTAACCGGGTCGACAGACATTTTTGGTGAGTTTTTCAAAGTATTCATTTTGTGCGTCTTTGAGCACCAAAGCTGAGTGCTTTCTAATGTTATCATATTCAAAAGAAGGCAAAGATATCTTCAATTGATATCTCTGAACTCAACCCAAAACAAACTAGATTGATAAATAGCAATAAAGTTAAAAGGAAACATTATTTTGAGATAAGGACCAGATTTGTTTTAAATAAAAATCATTGATTATTCAATATCTTTACCTTACAGCCATATTGCAGTGCGAGCTTGTTGAGGTTGTCCCCGTCCAGCACCTCCCGCTCCAGCAGCTGGATGTTCCTCAGACTGTCCGGCTCCTGCAGTGAAATTCGCGGCCTCATCTCCATGACGATGAGCTCCTCATCATCTGAGGAGGAAGTAGACTCATTGTGCCTCCTGTTGAACATGTAGATCTGCCCATCTACACTGGCATGGACATCCACCGGGGCCTGGAAAGCCCGGGAAGCGTGATCCCCCCGCCGCATAGTGAAGCCTGTAAAGATGTCCCAACATTAAAGCAAGAGTACAATTAAAAACATATTAAATTATAAATCCAAACTAAATAGAAATTACAGTTAAAGGTGGGGTAGGTAAGTTTGAGAAACCGGCTCGAGATACACTTTTTGTTATATTCCATGGAATGCTCTTAAGATATTCATTGCTATCGGGATGTTAAGTGCTTTGACAAAAAAATCCATAAAAAAATGTCATCTGTGGAAGCCGTGGTACTGTAAAAAGCACGACCAATCATTTTAGCCGGCTCGGCTAAAATAACTGGATGGCCTACCTGCCTGTCAGCCTTCCATCTGTGCACAAACTTATCTCGTGCCCTCATTGGTCATGTGAGCGTTCGTGTGTGTTGGAGGAGGGGCTCTGTGAGGAAGTGGCAGATTTTTTCCGGCTGTGTATTTTCAAATTCTAGCGCACTCGAGCTGGTTTCTCCAAAATTACCTACCCCACCTTTAATTCATTCATACTAGATAGATAGCTTTGGCTCTGTTTGCTGAGCAGGGTTGTTTTTCTTAAAGAAAGCCTTCATTTCTTTATTTCTTGTGTCTTGTTGAAGAAACTTAAGTAGAATTAAGCATATCACCAATCAAGATGAATAAAGGAGTATTAAAACATAGTTTTAGTACAGTATAAAAACTAATAAGAATAATCTTAGACATTGGCAAACTATCATAGCCTCATATATTGGATGTGTAGTTAATGAATTCTAAAAGAGCCAAGCAACTTATAATGTGTTAAATACAAAACTACATTTATTAATATACAGTTAAATAAATGTTGTCAAATGTTGCTGGGGAGACTCCTATGGAAGCCCAGCACTGCATTGTAGGCCCTACAGGCTGTGCAGTCATGACTCTACTGAACAACATGACAAGAGACACCATTATCAAACTCTGAACTAACCTACAGTACCTTTAATCTGCCTTTGAATCATTGACTCACACGAGTTGAGAGCAGATGCTTTGCGACGTGGCCTGGCCTTGTATCTACATCTGACTTCTGCTCTAGATTAAACTACAGTGGCTTGTTTCAGCAGTGTCATCTGAATGCCATGGCCTGTTAGTCGTACAGCTGTTATCCCTGCTTATCTAGCTCCATGGGTCTTACACATCCTTACTATCTGTGTAAGAAACCCTATATATTATTTTGTGACCCATTGTACCTTTAAGCTTTCCTAGAATCTAAACCTCACCTGAGCAGATATTTGTATCTGCATTGTATCAGTCAGTCAGTGGCTGGTCCAACTGAGACATCCTGTCTCCTGATATAGATATCTTGTATGTAAATAATCGATTCATTTTAAAGTTGTGTTTGAGTTTAAAAGTGCCACCTTATTCTAAAGTATTTTATATCCATTTTCTATCTCATAATAGAGATGATGGTTGCTGTCAAATGTGTGTGCCTGCTTTGTTTTGCTCACTTTTCAGGGGAACACATGGAGCTATCAAATATACACTTCTGATTGGATAGCGTTACACATAGCTAGATGACACCATTATGTGGCAGTATGAGTTTAACAACTTTTGGATTCATACTAATGCCACATATCTACATTGACTGGCTGCTTTTCACCGTAAAAAGGCGCACCAGAGTTCACTTGCGGGCCGAAAGCTCCTTCCTCTCGGCGCCCTGGTTGAATTATAGCTTTCACACCTGCCTACACGACCACAGAAAAAAGGCAAACGCACAATAGTTCCTTTAAAACTAAAGAGTGACAGCACCCTAACACATATTCATTATGCTTTAAATCTTAATGGACGGTGCACTTTGATTAACGTTGTTGTACACATTCAAAGGTGGGGTAGGTACGTTTGAGAAACCGGCTCGAGATACACTTAAGTTAACAAAGTTAGGCGATCATTTCTCAACCGACTTATAACACTCTAATGCCAAACTGAAGGACGTAATTTAATCTAAAAATCACTTTAAACCGTGTTACCGTTACTTCTGGAGTCCAGCATGTGTTCAGCTGAATTTCGGCACCATGGCACAGTCAGCGAACTGCCTAACTTCAGCTCCAGTTACAGTGAGCAAACGTTAGTTTATGTTCATGACGACACATGAAGAAATACTGTTACTATTTTTTTTTAAAAAGTAAATATAGTGTCACAGACTTTTTAATCTCAGACTGAGCTTCCCCACATCTAGTTACCTTATCCAAATGGCAACAGTAGTGCAGGACAGCGCCTTGGCAGAGGAGTCCACCCCGGCTGGACAGGCGAACATTACAGCAGCAACTGGTGGCGCTCGCGCTAGCTGCTGTTAGCCTGCTTCTTCTTCTACTCTATCAAAGAAGGTGCTGCAAGAAAAGCTCTACCGCCACCCACTGCTCTGGAATGTGACAACAACAACAATAATTTCATCTTTAAAGAAATCCCTACAACGTTTAAGAATATTAATTTATGATGCTGATTATTTTTATATTTTTGTATTAATTGATTATTTAATTTTAGTGGGCTACACTGTGGACAGTACTGCTGCATAAACACAGGAAATTGAACAGGCTACCTGTTCACATTTACACATTGAAGCAAAGCAAATTAAAGCTTAAAAAAAAAAATATAACATTTCATACCAGGTGTGAGACCAATGTGCTGCACAATGTGTGAGCTATGTACGATGCAGCCACAAAAAAAAAATTGATATGTGTAAATATATATATTTAAACAAATCAAATTAAGACATACTGTATGATACCTGAAACCATTAAAATAAATAATAGTTAAGACCAAAACTTTACCAATGAAAAAAAAGACACCTGATATAAATCCAATAAAAGTAGTATGGACAAAATCATTTCGACCTAGCTGCTGAGACAACAGATGTCTTGATATTGCTATTTTCTTGAAATATTAGTATTTTCCTCTTGATAATCTATTGGTAATTTAATTTTTCAAATATTGGATGAGCTTTGCTGTCGAGTAACTTTAGATATTGAATTAATATAATGGTTTTATTCTAAATAAAAGTAGATTAAAAGTAAAATAATACACTCATGGTTCAGTGTAATTGAACAATGTCATGTGTGTATTATATATTTTTAAACATCATTATACAGTCTCCACGACTTAAAACTGAGATATATTATATAAATTGTATATTAGATTTACTTTTTCTTCTCTGTTTATGCTAATTAATAGTTGAGCAAATGTCCACTATGTCTGACATCTGTTGGTAGAAAGTCATCATTACACCTAAGCCATTAAAGTACAGGGGCTGTCAATTGACTTCCTCTCCCTTTACCCTATTTAAGTTCCTATGTGCTACACAAGTATTGGTGAGGACAGCTACAGCACACTGCCTTGGGCTGAGAGGATGATCGAAAGTGAATACTGGTTCCTGGGTCCTCATGGAAAGAATCACAAAGGTTTCAGAGAGGTCAGGCCACTAGATGGGGCTATTGGTCTTTCATATTGCTGAAGATTTGTTAAAAGCTTCTCATCTTCTTATCAGATTAAACTAATACAGGGTGTTTTTTTTACATGGGACAAAGCATTAGTTTTATTCCATTCCGTTATTGATATTGTGGATTACAGGTATGTAATATTCAGTTTGATAGTAACCTGTTAAACCCCGAGCCTGTTTTTCAGGTTTTAGGCTCGAAAATGACATTCCCAGAATGACCATATCTTCCCTTCTAAAAGGGTTAAATTAATAATCTTTTTTCTCAAAGTAATGATAAACCTGTGAGTTGGATGTATAAAAGTCAGAATAAATATAGATGTTTTTTATTTTAAAGAAAATTTAGATTGAACATGGTAAAAAACTGTAAATTATAGTGTCCGTCCAAAAAATATGTTGTACTTATAGTAAAAAAAAACTAACCTTGGATGATAGGTTAGTAGACTAAAAGCTTAGGAATCCAAAGTACAACATATAATAAGTACCCTGTATCAAGATTGATGCAAAACAAGTGATATGTGACCTTTTTAGACAGATTTAGCACAAAAAAAACCCTCTTCTGGGGCCATTTGGGTGGATTTTCCATACTGGCCCCCCTTGCTGGATTTTGACATGTGACATATCTTTCTAACCATCAGAGCCAATGGAATCGAGGGAAACTCCCACCTAGTCCTTATTTGGTAATGTGTGTGTGTTAGACAGCCGCATATCCAAGACCGGAAGCAGCAGCAGCCTCTGGTGGCTACCATTAGCAGCTAACTTTTGCTCTGCGATTTTTACATAAAAATGGAATTATGGATTATAAATGAAATAGTTTTTTATACAGAGACGTTAAAAACCTATGGATTAACAGATTTAGCCGCGTTTCTCGTTTTAATGCCATTGAACACGTCTTTTGATCAGATTGAGAGCTACGGTGAGACGATCTCCCTATAAACTCCGTAAAGGTACGTGTTGTGATGTCTGTGTTTGCTTCCCCTGTCGCGAGTTCGGATCACTCAGTGATGATACTCTATACCTAAATAATCTGTGGAACCTCAGCTTTAATCGGATATCTGTATGTGCAGCTACGATAAGTAATAAGGGTACTTTTATCTTGAGTTCTGTGCCAATGTCCGTTAGCATTTTTCGCTAAGGGGTCATTTAGATTCTTCTTATGAGACTTGTGTTTTGTTTTGGTAAAAATGGTTTGTATCGTCAGTTAACTGAGATTATTTCCGTTAATCTGGTATAACACATTAATAGGTTCTTAAATATTAAGATCCCCTGAGACACAGTGTTGTGAAAAAAAAACCCAAGGTCTGGACTGAACATTTTACATATATTGTTAATCGCCTGATGAATACCACCATGAAAATACATCACACCCCTCTTCCATCAAACCATTTATGAGCAGTAGCCTATGCAGGCGAGCTCAAAAGATTGCCTGAAATTGTTCCCAAAAGGTGAGTTGTGTAAGCCCCATAGCACAGACCCAATAAATAAATAAAACATATTTAATCAGCCTAATTACACCACCAATCACCAGGACATATTTCTGAGTACACTTCAGTTTGACCAATACAATCTTTCCCCAAATTGTCTTTTTTTATTTTAATGAAAACGATTTTACACAGAATGTAAGGGATTATAATATAAGATAAAGGCAAAATAAGATCCTAAAAAAAAAATCTATCTTTACTGATTATCCTCTACAATGACCTACACCTCAATTTGTCTCGTGAAGACATACTTTACACTGGAAGTATAATTTACACTATGAATATAAACATAATTGACAGTCCACTATACAAATAGATAGCTAGCAGGATATATAACAAATGCATGTATTAAAACAACTGTTTAAAATGCCATCTATATTATTCATAATGCTTTTACCAATGTAAGTTTTATTCATGTATTTTTTGTATTAGTGTAGAATAATTGTGTGTGCGCCTGCGTTCCATCTTTACGGTCTGGAGTCCCGCCTACAAGCAATCTGATTGGTCAATACCGAAGCACGCATGTTCTGTTTGATTGAACGTAGTTTGGTCGTTAGCTGCTAACCCCCCTATGACATGGACAGTTTTAGCTGACAGAAAAGTGATTCTGATTTATTATATCCGGTCTATCTCGTATAAAGTCAAATGAGTCCGACATGATAATTGCCAGCTAGCTGAAGTGTATTTCTGAAAGGGGGTGGAGGCAGGGCCGAACGGAAAACATTCTTCCGGCCGAAATGTCCATTGCAAAGCACCTGTTGGTTTGTAGCGTCACTGTGCCAGTGCGCACTGAGGACGACAATGGTAAGTGAGACACGTTTAAGTCAATGTTAGTTAACATTAGCATAAAGACGCGTCTCCTTGAAAAAAAAAAGTTATTGGCATAAAATGTTACCTTTTTAGATATAGCAAAAGTGTTCACCTAACGTTTGACTTAATAGTTTGCTAATTCCAATAATGCATTATATGTTAAAGGTGGGGTAGGTAAGTTTGAGAAACCGGCTCGAGATACACTTTTTGTTATATTCCATGGAATGCTCTTAACATCCCGATAGCAATGAATATCTTTTAAGTGCTTTGACAAAAAATCCATAAAATGTCATCTGTGGAAGCCGTAGTACTGTAAAAAGCACGACCAATCATTTTAGCCGGCCCGGCTAAAATAACTGGATGGCCTACCTGCCTGTCAGCCTTCCATCTGTGCACAAACTTATCTCGTGCCCTCATTGGTCATGTGCACGTTCGTGTGTGTTGGAGGAGGGGCTCTGTGAGGAAGTGGCAGATTTTTTCCGGCTGTGTATTTTCAAATTCTAGCGCACTCGAGCTGGTTTCTCCAAAATTACCTACCCCACCTTTAAGCTAGACCATTAGTTTACACAGCCTAAAATTAGACACAAGCACACTTGGCAGCTAGCCTACCGTGTGTTATTGCGGGGATAACTTAATCTGTTATAAAACGCAGTAGAAAGCATCATTTGAAAATAGTCTAAACTTGTTTTTTTTGTTAACCTGTATTCATTAAAGTTTAGAAACACGCCTCTAAGATTTGTGTAAATGAGTGGGTTTTTCCCGATTTCTACAGAAATGCTCAAGAAGGACTTCTACGGAGCCCCCTAGGGGACATGGAGAAGAAAAAAAAATTATTTGAAAAAAAATTAAAATAAAATGTTTTGCGTGATTTCGCAAAACCTTTGCGAGATATCGCAAAACCCCTTTGCGAGATCTCGCAATACTTTTGCGAGATCTCGCAAAACCCCGTTGCAGTTTGTAGACGGTCCCGAAGCACTCCTCTCCCTCCTCCAGCTGCGGATTGTGACCAATTCTTGATGTTTAGCTCGGATGACGGCGCGTATCGAACTGTTCTGATAAAAACGACTCTGTAGCTCGTTGTCTACCTTGCTATGATTGTAAAGTCATGTTGTTTGTATTTTTATAACGTTATGTTCATGAGTTATTGATCCGCAAAATTCGAATCTGTCAAAAACTCAGCTCACGTGCATGTCCCCTCGAGTGTTTTCTTGAGGTGTCTTCACTTATGTGAAACCCTTTTATATATACAGTCTATGTGTGAAACCCGTGCCTATTGCCAAGCACTGATGTTATATCTTTATATTTAAGGCCAAGCTCAAAGTAAAATCGATGAACCACTCCATTGTTGTGGTTTCTGTGTTGCCGTAGCAGCCGAACTGACCAGGAAGTACTAAATGAAAAGTATTGTGAGATCTCGCAAAGGGGTTTTGCGATATCTCGCAA